TGATTTTTTTAAGTCTATATGAGTTTTAGTGCATTAATTACTGAGGAGCCTCAAATTATTTATGTTGATAATTTTCATATTTGATTTTCAATTCAATATTTTTGGGGAAGTTACTGGGACTTGCTAAGTAAGTGCTCTAACATATCAGCCACACCTTTAGTCCATTTTGTGCTGGTTATTAATTTTTTTATTTATTGTTATTGTAGAGTTTATATACAGGTACTGAGTTACATGTATCAGGCAATGAGTAATAATTACAATTCTTTTTGAACCATGTCACCCCTTTTCTTGCTCTTTCAGTTTGTCCCTCCCACCCCTATGCACAAGATATATAGGTCATTTCCTAAGTAACACTATTGTATTTGTTCAGCCTTGTTTCATCTTTTCTGCTCTCCCAAGACCTCCCAAATACAAACCAACAAACAAGACAAAAAGAAAAGAAAAAAAAGGGCCCCATATAGAGCTCCCCTATGACCCAGCAATCCCACTTTTGGGCATTTACCCAAATGATGACAAACAAGACCATCCTAAAGCTACCAGCACAACTATGTTTATTGCAGCATTATTTACCAGAGCTAAGATATGGCACCAACCCAGATGCCCCTCAGTGGATGAATGGATCAAGAAAATGTGAGAGATGTGTGTGTGTGTGTGTGTAGATATTTCTATATATATATATATATAGAAATATCTACACACACACACACACAAACACCCAATGGAATTCCATGCCTCCATGAGAAAGAATAACATCACCCCATTTGTTAAGAAATGGAAAGACTTGGAAAAAATATTATTAAGTGAAGTAAGCCAGGCCCAAAGAAACATAGGTCCCATGGTTTCCCTTATTTGCAATAACCAGTATATGTCTGGGACAAGCAGAAAAGGTCAAAAGCTATGTACATATGACCAGATAAGATAATATTAAGCAAAATCAATCTCAAGATAGGGACACAAGTAGTTTTTTCTTTCTTACTATTGTTTCTAATGTATTTATAATGTACCATGTGATTTTTTTTGTTGCTTTGTACGTTCCTCTCCCACAGTATAACCCGTTTTCACTGTATTTGATGTTGGTGCCCTGCACCTTGTGTATACATTTCTTTAATTTGAGAAGGGGTAGGGAAAAAACAAAATGTTTAGATCGGGATACAGGTTGACCCATTGTAACAATGAGATGTACAAGACAGTATGTTGAAAACGAACTTTACAATTTAGGCAGGTGGAGAGTGTAGTTGTGGAGGTGAGAGGGAAGGGATAACAGGGGAAAAACAAAGGAGGAGGCAACAATGCCTGACAGAAAATGTACTTATTACCTTGCTCATGTAACTGTAACCCCTTGGTACAGAATTTTGCAATAAAAAACTTTTTAAAAAAGAAAAAAATGCAACAATGAAAACTAAAAAATATCTTGTTTTTTCCTTGGAGTTCATTTCATAAAATATCATTTTATATGATCATATACACATAGATATTAAGCCTTTGTCAACCTGTGCATATCCTCCTTTGGCCTCAGTGTGTGACTGTCTACAGTCCTATGCAATTTATCATGTGCTAGTGAGAATGGCCAATAGACACATGAAGAAGTGTTCAAATCTCTAGCCATAAAACAAAGGAGGAGGTAACAAAGCTTGATAGGAAATGTACTCATTTACCTTGCTCATGTAACTGTAACCCTTCTGTACAGTATTTTTACAATAAAAATGTATTTTAAAAAAGAAATGCAAATCAAAACAACATTGAGATTCTACTTCACTCCAGTTAGAATGGCCATTATCAAGAAAACTAACACAGATGCTGGTGGGATGTAGCCAAAAGTGAACTCTATTACACTATTGATGGGAATATAAACTTATTCAACCACCCTGGAAAGAAATATGGAGGTTCCATAAAAGACTAAATATAGAGTTTTCCTATGACCCAGCAATCCCTCTCCTGAGCATTTACCCATTTGACAAAAAAAAAAAAAAAAAAAATAAACAGGCCATACTAAAGCCACCAACACAACCATGTTCATTGCAACATTATTTGCCATGGAATCAACCCAGATGCTCCTCAGTGGATAAATGGACCAAGAATATGTGGTATATATACACAATGGAATTCTACTCATCCAGCAGAAAGAATAATATTGCTCCACTTGTTAGGAAATGGAAAAACTTGGAAAAAATTATATTAAGCAAGGTAAGCCAGAGCAAATGTAACATAGGCTGCATGGTTGCCCTCATTTTTGGTAAGTAGAATGTGCTTATAAATCTACAAGTAAACAAATTGAATGATTATATATATATATATATATATATATATGAACATATATATGTATGTATATACACATACTCTTTGACATGATAAATTATGTTTTATTGATTTAAATCCATCATTGTTTGGTATTGTTGTTTTGGGATCTATGGTTGGCAGCAGATCATAGTAAAGAGCTTATAGGACAAAAGCTGCTCACCTAATGGAGAGGAGGAAGTAAAGAGAGAAAGAGAAAAGAAGGGGAAGGAAAGGGAATGAGGGATATCAGGACAAAAATCAAGTGTCCAATATCTCTTTAAAGGGTGTACCCTCAATAAACTACATTCCTTCTACCATATGGTTAAAGGCTAATGTTATAATACCACTCAATAGTGCCATATGCTGGTGCTTTAACATTAGAGCCTTTGTGGGGCCCTGACTATAAGAACATGACAGCTACTGAGATTCCTTATTTTGGGGGTTCTAAGCCAAAGAAATTCAGGGCTGTATAATCTCAGCATTTTCTTCTTTTCAAACTACAGTCAAATCCCCATTATTAAGCGTTGATCAGATCTTATGAGAAAATCTCTTTTTTCTTTCCATAAAACATCACTCATAGTCTTTTTTTTTTTTTTTTTTTGTCATTGTGGGGCTTGCACTCTGGGCCTGGGCACTAACCCTGAGCTCTTCAGATCAAGGCTATCATTCTACCACTTGAGCTACAGACCTACTTCCAGTTTCTGGTGATTATTTGGTGGTAAGAGTCTCACAGGCTTTCCTGCCTGGGTTGACTTTAAACCACAATCCTCAGCTCTCAGCCTCCTGAGTAGATCACTCTTAGTTTTAAACTTGATCTTAACTTTATTCTGCTCTCACCAGTTCCTGATATCTTGCATTATTGCTGTTTTTCTTTCTGCCTTCAGATTTAGAGTTGGACATGATCTAGAGTTTGGCATGGGGGCTTCTTCTTGAGCATTACATTATTTTCTCAGTGATCCCCTACAAAATGGCACCTCTCTTCAGGATATGCAATTTGTTTTAACACAATATTCTCTGAACTGAAGCAACCTGATTGAAAATAGATAGTTATGATTGAAAGGTATAGATAATTCTTTGACTTTAATGTAAGAAAATTAAAATTTAAGTACTTCTCTGTTCTCAAATATCTTCCACTGTTTCATTTACTGATACCTAATGTTCTGAGGAAAATGTGCATATAAAGAACAAGTAAGGGTTGACACTTGGGTCATGTCTATATCTACATAAAGCAAATTAATGAGACTATAAACTTTTAGGGGCAGGGACCTGGTGGACTGCATATAGAATTGACTCTTCTCAAAGACTGACATTATTAAACAGCATCTGACAGTAACTTTAAAACTTTTTAGGTCATTATTAGCAATAAAAGTATTCTTCCCTGCCATAAATTTAAGCAGCAAAACCACCTAGATGGATAGTGCTGGTCTGTGTGATAGAATGAGTGGCCAGAAAATGCATCTGTACAGGTTGGGACCTGTATGGGCCCATTTCTATGGGAATGAATTGGATTCACAGCTTAGCCATTTCTTTCTTTCCAGGGTAAAATACAATGACAAGTTAAGTAAACACTTTTAACTTTTTGTGCTTATTCTCCTATTGTCTTATCACAAAATTGTTGGCCATTGTGTAACAGTTGAAATTTCTGACCCCATGTTATTATTTTTTGATGATGATGCAGTAGACATGAGGTAAAATTTGTCTCCTTAACCATTTTGAAAGATGTTGTCAGTATAATTTTATTACATTTGATTAGCTTTTTTCTGTCTTAGCATTACTGTCCATTGGACTGGGTAATTTTTAGTTGCAGATGGTATAGACATGCAGATAAGCATGTTTAGCCACATCTGCAGCCTCTTTCCACTAGGTGTCACAAGTCCCCAGTTGTGACAAACACAAATTTTTCCTGGTACTTCCAAATTGGTTAAAATCACTCCTGATTTGGAACCACTGAACTAAAACATCTATGAATTTCTTTCTGCTCTGTATGTTCTGCTCCTTTCTATAGCATAAAAATATTATTGACATTTCATTATATAAAAACAAGAAAGAATTCCCAGCCATACAATTTGGGTAGAATAAGAAGAGAATGACAGGAAATGTGACATGAATTTCTCTCTCTCTCTCTTTCTTTCTCTCTCTCTCTCTCTCTCTATATATATATATATACTTGTAAAGATACTGTACAGAGGGGTTACAGTTACATGAGTAAGGTGAGGAGTACATTTCCTATCCAGCATTGTTACCCCCTCCTTTATTTTTCCCCTATCATCCCTTTCTTCCCCACCTCTCCAACTCCTTCTTCCCCTCCTCCCTGAAGTTAAGTTCATTTTCAATGTAGTGTCTTGAACATCTCATTGTTACAATAGGTCAACCTGTATCATTGTTTCAGCATGTTGTCATTTCCTTTCCCCTCCCCTAATTAGAAAAATGTATATACAAGATGCAGGGCACTGGAATCAAATACAGTGACAACAGGGGTTATGCTATAGGGGAGAACATACAAAAGAAACAAAAAATCACATAGTACATTAAAAACAACAGCAACAAAGATAAAATCTCTTGTGTCCCTGTCTTGGGTTCATTTCTCTCGACATCATCTTATATGGTCTTATGTAAATAGCTTTTGACCTTTTCTGCTTGTCTGGTAAGATTATCCTAGATGTATATTAGTTATTGCAGATACAGGAAACTATGGGACCTGCTTCTTTGGGTCTGGCTTACTTAAAAATAAGGAACACTGTACACATTTGCATGTCATCCTTGCACAGGGGGCATGCTAATCTCTGTATCATTCCAATTTGGTACATGTGCTGCCACCGAAGCAAGCACGGTAACATGAAACTTATATTTGATTCTCAGATCTAGCTTTGGGAATCTGGTACTTTTCAGAAGTTGTGTGTGTGTGTGTGTTTGTTTGTGTGTGTGTGTGTGTGTGTGTGTGTGTGTGTGTGTGTGTGTTCCTAAAAAAATGCCTTCACTAAAATATTAAAGTGAAATAAAAGTTATGGAAAAAGGTCAACTTTACACAAACAAGGAATTCTCTAATACTCTGGCTTATTTCTGTCAGCTTCCTTTCCCTCCAAAAGAGAAGCTGCAATGACAGATATTGAACATTTGTTGGTATTGATAAAATGACTTTTGCAGGAAAATTCCTTGCTCAGATTAAATCCCACTGAGCAGAATAATAGTTCATTGTGAGAGGATCTTTGTTCATTCTGATGCCATTGGGAAGAAATTCTATGCACACAGAATGTCTCACCTGCTTACTGCTGAGGTGACATCATCTGGTGTGGCCCACACTGGCATTTGTGCTCATGATGCTCTGGGGACCATGTATCTTCCTTCACAGTTCCATAGAAAGGCTTTTATTCTAAGTATCCCTCACTATATTGACTTGCATTTTGGTTGTCCAACCTGATTTACAAAGTCTCAGCTGATAATATTCAGAGTGAGAATGTCTTTTGTCTGTTAATACATTTGAGAGGTAAGCTGTCTAACCATACCTCTGAAGACCACCTCAATAAATTCATTCAGTCAAGTTTGGACTGAGTTACTTATTTCTCAACCAGATTGAATATTGCCCTGTCCTAGGTGACAAGTAAAACTTTGTCATTCCTCCTCCATTACAAAAACAGAGTAAGAACTGATTCACACAGGACTGGTCTTAGGGGAGCACTTTAATGACACATCTGGGGAAGAGAAGATAGATAGGTTGTCCATTCTTTCCAATTCTGAGTCCATTTTTCTCCTCATTGGAGAAAAAAATAAGTGTTGAGACTGTCTTTGAAACTCATTATCCTCTTTTCATATTTAGAACTGCAGTACAGAAAATGCTTAAAAATAGAAGGCAAAATGTGTATCAAGAAAATAGCTGCTAGGACTCATCAAAGAAAGAGAACTATAGACCCATTTCTTTGATGAACATTGATGCAAAACTTCTCAACAAAATTTTGGCCAACCGACTTCAACAATTCATCCAAAAAATCATACACCACGATCAAACAGGATTCATTTCAGGGATGCAAAGCTGGTTCAATATACGCAAATCAATTAATATTATTCATCACATCAACAGGAGCAAGAATAAGAATCACATGGTTATCTCAATAGATGCAGAAAAAGCATTCGACAAGATCCAACACCCCTTCCTGATGAAGGTTTTGGAAAAATTAGGAATCCATGGAACATTCCTCAATACAATAAAGGCTATATATGACAAACCTACAGCCAGCATTATACTCAATGGTGAAAAACTAAAGCCATTTCCTCTTAACTCAGGAACAAGACAAGGATGCCCACTCTCTCCACTTCTCTTCAATCTAGTATTAGAATGCCTAGCTACAGCAATAAGACAAGATGCAGACATAAAGGGGATCCAAATAGGGAAAGAAGAAATAAAACTCTCCCTCTTTGCAGATGACATGATCTTGTATTTAAAGAATCCCATAGACTCCACTCCCAAATTACTCAAGCTGATTCAAAACTTTGGCAAAGTAGCAGGTTATAAAATTAACCCCCCAAAATCAATGGCTTTTCTGTATGCCAACAATGAGAAAAGTGTGGCTGAAATTAGGAAAGAAACTCCATTTGTAATAGCCCCACAAAAAATAAAATTCCTAGGAATTAACTTAACTAAAGAAGTGAAGGACCTCTATGATGAAAACTTTAAAATCTTGAAAAAGGAAATCAACACAGAACTTAAAAAATGGCAAAACCTCCCATGCTCCTGGATTGGAAAGATTAACATCGTGAAAATGGCAATACTTCCCAAGGCTATCTACAAATTCAATGCAATACCTATCAAAATTCCACCCTCATTCTTCAAGGAAATAGAAGAGGCAATCCAAAAATTCATATGGAACAATAAAAGACCCCGAATAGCAAAAACGCTCCTCAACGGAAAAAACACTGCTGGAGGAATATCAATACCAAATTTCAAACTCTACTATAAAGCCATAGTAATCAAAACAGCTTGGTATTGGCATAAGAACAGACCTCAGGACCAATGGAATAGAATTGAAAACCCAGAAATGAACCTACAGACCTATAGCCATCTAATCTTCGATAAGGGAGCTAAAACAATAGAATGGAAGACAGACATCCTCTTCAGTAAATGGTGCTGGCAAAACTGGTTAACTACATGTAGAAAACTAAAGCTAGATCCTTATATATCACCCTGCACCAGAATCAACTCCAAATGGATCAAAGACCTTGAAGTCAAAGCAGACACTCTGAAGACATTACAGGATGGAATAGGAGAAACCCTGGGTCTCCTTGGCTCAGGCTGAAATTTTCTGAATAGAGACCCGGAAACACAACAAATCAAAGAAAGGTTGGACAAATGGGATTGTATAAGGTTGCAGAGCTTCTGCAGGGCAAATGACATAGCTAGCAAGATCAATAGAAAGCCCACGGACTGGGAGAAGATCTTTACTAGCCATACAACGGACAAGGGTCTCATATCTAAAATATACTTGGAACTCAAAAATTAAACCACCCAACAACAAATCCTCAAAGAAACAACTGCCCAATAAGTAAGTGGGCGAAAGACTTAAAGAGAAGCTTCTCTGAAGAAGAAAGAAGGATGGCCAATAGACACATGAAGAAATGTTCAACATCCCTAGCCATAAAAGAAATGCAAATCAAAACAACATTGAGATATCACCTCACTCCAGTTAGAACAGCAAAAATCAAGAACTCTAACAACAACAGATGCTGGAGGGGATGTGGACAGAAAGGAACCTTACTTCATTGTTGGTGGGAATGTAAACTTGTTCAACCACTTTGGAAAGCAGTATGGAGGTTCCTCAAAAGACTCCACATAGAGCTCCCCAATGACCCAGCAATCCCACTTTTGGGCATTTACCCAAATGTTTACAAACAAGGCCACACTAAAGCTACCAGCACAACTATGTTTATAGCAGCATTATTTACCATAGCTAAGATATGGAACCAACCCAGATGCCCCTCAGTAGATGAATGGATCAAGAAAATGTGGTATATATACACAATGGAATTCTATGCCTCCATCAGAAAGAATGACATTGCCCCATTTGTTAGGAAATGGAAAGGCTTGGAAAAAATTATATTAAGTGAAGTAAGCCAGGCCCAAAGAAACATAGGTCCCATGGTTTCCCTTATTTGCAATATCTAGTATAGGTATGAGTCAAGCGGAAAAAGTCAGAGAATGTGATGTTAGGAAAACGAAACCTCAAATATGTATTTTAATGTTTTTGTTTCTTTCATGCATGTGTTTCTAACGCATTTATAAGATTATTTCTTTGTTGCTTTGTATGTCCCTCCCCCACAGTGTAACCCCCGCTTTCACTATATTTGATGTCAGTATAACATGTGGAGGAGACAGGGACAAACAAGTCGTTTAAGGATTCAGGTGGACCTGTTGCAACAATGAGAAGTACAAAATGTCATGTCAAAACCAGCTTTACAATGTCGGTGGGGGAGGGGGAGGGGGGGTATGATTGGGTGGGGGGGAAGGGGGAGGCTGGGAAGGGAGGTGAAGGGTAAACAAAGGAGGAGGCTGCAATGCTTGGTAAGAAATGTATGCATTATCCTGCCCATGTAATTGTAACCCCTCTGTACAGTATGTTCTCAAATAAAATAAAATAAAATTTAAAAAAAAAGAAAAAAAAAAAAGAAAATAGCTGCTAAATGAACATTTGATGAAGAAGAACTTCAGGCAAGTCATGTCAAAGCATCAGTGGAAATTACTGTGCAATGGAAAGAATCAAGCTACCAGCACAACTATGTTTATTGCAGCATTATTTACCATAGCTAAGATGTGGAAACAACCTAGATGCCCCTCAGTAGATGAATGGATCAAGAAAATGTGGTATATATACACAATGGAATTCTATACCTCCATCAGAAAGAATGGCGTTGCCCCATTTGTTAGGACATGGAAAGACTTGGAAAAAATTATATTAAGTGAAGTAAGCCAGGCCCAAAGAAACATAGGTCCCATGGTTTCCCTTATTTGCAATAACTAGTATATGTCTGAGACAAGCAGAAACAGTCAGATAAGTTGATGTTAGGTGAAATGAACCCCACGATAAGGACTTAAATGTTTTTTCTTTCTTGCTATTGTTTCTAACATATTTATAAGATATTTCTTTGTTGCTTTGTATGTCCCTCCCCCACAGTATAACCCGTTTTCACTGCATTTGATATTGGTATAATTTGTGGAGGGGAAGGTGGACCCATTGCAACAATGAGATGTACAAAACGTTATGTTGGAAAACGAACTTTACAACTTTGGTGTGTGGTGGGGTGAGGGGGGGTGGAGGGCGGAGGGGATGGTGGGGGTGTGGAGATGGGAAGGGGAAACAAAGGAGGAGGCCACAATGCTTGATAAGAAATGTACTCATTACCTTGCCCATGTAATTGTAACCCCTCTGTACAGTATTTTCACACACACAAAAAAAGACTAAGATCAAGTTCTTAAATGCTATGCAATTCTCAGTAAAGCCTCAAAAGCCTAAGTTCTATATAGATTATATAGATTATAATGGAGAGAGAGAAGAATAAATTTATAGATGAAAGATTTTAACCACTCCTTTTTTAAAGCTGAGAAATAACAAAAAATATAAAAATGACAAAATGATAAAATATAAAAATCAGGTGGAAATAAAATCTGCCTATAGAATTTTGCATCAAAGAATATAGAATATATAAACATATATTCTTTAACAAATAAGCAATAATTAAGAACATTTAAATTGCAGTAATGTTTTATATTGAGGTCCCTGGAAACAGAATTCATTGTGGAAAGTTGTGTTTTGAATATTTGTTAACATGTTATCTTTGGAGAA